CGTCACGGGGCTCAGAGGCCTGCGGGCGGCGGGGGGCGCCGGGGGTCCTGTCGCCGACTGGGAGCCCCCTCGGACTGCAGGGCGCGGGCTCCGGCGCCTGGGCTGGGGCACCCCGACGGGGCCGGGGGCCCTGGAGTCCCCCTCCTGCCCTCAGCCGGTCTAGGGGCTCCTTCCGGGGCCTGCTCCCTCCTCCGTTCCCCCCTTTCCCCCTTGAACTGTGTTTGGTTCGAGTATTTATAAGGTGCCTTGTTTTGGGGTCTTTGCACAGAGAGAGACAAAGCCGTTTTCCCAGGAAAAAAAATTATATAGAAACAGTTCACTTTGATAGGACCTCATGGCTGTGGTGGCGACATGGCACGAGTGGAGACCCCAGTGGGAGTCTCGAGTCCGGGGGCTGGAGGGGGCGGCTGGGCCCACAGCAGCGCCGTCGGGGACTTCGTTTCTCGGGTTGCGAGCCAGGACTTTGGCTCCTGAGCACAAGACTTTACATCTCAACTTCTTGCTGTTTTCCTGGGCGCCGGCGGTTCATCCAGTCTGATGAAAATAGCAGAATGCAGATCCTTGAATCTTCACACAAATGCGATAATTATAGTACATTGAGCAACTGTGTTGGGCACGAAATTCTAGAGGAATCTTTAGTCCTACTACCAAGACGCCCCCCACACATTCAGCCGTACCTTCTGCGTCTTCTTTCCCCACTTTCAGCTCCCATGGAAGTTGGGTTCTTGAGAGGAATGATGTCTGGCCAAAATCCACTGGAAGCAGGCTTGAGATTTGGGGGTGCGGTAAGCTGGGAAGGAGAAACCTGTGTCTAGTTGGGCAGAGATCTGAGGATGGGAAAGAAACTTTGTGGTCCCTGAGCTGGGAAGGGGTTGGTGTTCCATGAATACTGCGAGCTCTAAGCTGTTGGCTTTTTATTTAGACCGGGCAGGTAAGAATTTGGGTTTTGTTGGATTATTTAGGGGCTAAGAAGCTCAGTGAGATTTATGTGTAGGCAAGTTGAGGCATCAGTAGGTCTGGGTTTGAGAACCTGAAAATATTCTCTTAAATAGCACTTTTTGTTTTATAGCAAGAGGGCTTTCACATATGTTGGCTCATCTGTCCACAGTAACAATGTCAGGTAGACAGTTTTCAATCCTCATTTTCCAGATGAGAAATCCAAGGCTTAGAGAGTTGAGTGTCTTGCTGGAAAGTCACACTGCAGAGCTAGGATTCCTACTCAGTTTTCTTTCTTTCTTTCTCTCTCTCTTTTTTTTTTTTTTTTTTTTATTATTTTTAAATTTTTATTTCCCCACCCATTTTTCTGATTGCAAATCTTCACCCTGTCCCAGAGTCCTGGGCTCCCTCAGCAAGTTGCTTTTCAAGTGCCTCTTGTGAGATTCTGTGAGTCAGATTTGGGATTGACTTTGTCACTTATAGTCTGGCTACAAAGAGCAAGTTGACTCTAGTGAACCAATAAGAGAAAAAGAAAATGCTCAATTCTGGGGTTAATGCAGTGGGAGTGGAGAGAAGGGAGATGGCTCAGGGTAATCTGGAAAAGTTAGGGAAGGATTCCTCGGGGTGGGGGGGAAGAGGAAGGGAATTCCTGGGTTAGCCACAATTGCTTTTGTGCTGTGAGGTTGACTTACATTCTAATTCTTACAGTAGTTCCATGAGTGGTGGGCATTACTATCTCCATTTCACAGATAAAGAAATTGAGGAACATGGGATTTGTGTGGCTGGCCCAAGGTTATCCCACTGGATTTGAACCCAGGCATTCATGACTCTTGAGTGCGCTGCGGCCCGCTGCAGCCACCTTCATCTCAAATATGTAAGACAAGAACAAGGACTAGGATGGTCTAAATTGGCAAATGTAACAGGGGTAGGGGCTGAAGCTAAAAGGTCAGCAGGCTCCCCAAGGCCAGGGGTTCTACTGAACTGGCTCTGTGTCCCAGGGCCCTCTGGGGCTGGCCCAGCAAAAGTACTCCCAGTAGGTTTCTGGAAACATGACTGGAAAAGGCAGAACAGCAGTGGAAGGAGGACTGGCCCCTGAGTGTGGAGATCTGAGTAAGTTCAGCTCTTTGGTGCCTGTTGTGTGCTCGGCTTGCCGCCCCGGAGGAGCTTGGAGCTTGGGGATGAGGCAGATATGGTTGATTAACCTGAGCTTCCCAAGGACAGAACTGGGTCTGATTCACCCTCTGGGCCATTGGCTCCAGTAGAGGTGCCAGGAGGACACATTCAGCCATTGTGTTGTCAAATTAAATCATGCCCCAGTGTAGAGGAGGAAGGTTTATTTTGCCCAGGGGTGGGAGGTCTTCCTAGAAGAAGTACCATTTGAACATTTGAGAGATGGGTTGAGAAAGGCCAAGAGAAAGGGCATTCTAAGCAGAAGCACTGAGACAGACGAAGGCAGGGACATTTAAAGAAGGAACAGGTCACTTGATATAACCTCGATATAGGAGGCAGATATGAGTTTGGGTTCAAGTCAGGCTCTGCTACCGTAGTCCCTTCGGTTCTCTGGGCCTCTGAAAACAAGCCCTGAGATTTGGTGATGTTTGATAGTAACCTGTGTTTGGGGATCAGGACAAGAAACTCAGACGAAAGGAGCTAGAAGAGTTTTACATTTTTTATTAATTAATTTTTTTGTACATTTTTTATTAATTTTAAGACACTGATCCAGCAATTCCCCAGTGGTCAGGCCCTGTTGTGAGTGCTTTTTTCTAGATTAGTTTATTTAATCCTTGTAACAGCCCTATAGGTAGGCACTATAATTATCCCCATTTTTCAGAGGAAGAAACTAGGGCACAGAGAGGTTAAGTGACATTGCATAAGTGGCAGAGTTGCAAAGTGGACCTGGCAGTCCAGTCCAGCTCTCGTGTAGGACTAGGAAGGGAGAGAAGAAAGGAGGCTGGTGGGGACCACGGTGGTAGACCTGAGTGTCATCAGAGGCAGAGGTGTCCTCTGTGGAAAGCCGGCTGGAACCGGAGCTAGAGGCTTGATCTGGGCTGACAAAGTGACTACTAGATGTCAGCTCCCAGGAGCCTCCACAGAAGCCAGCTCCTTACATCACATTTAACGGCCTATAGGACATGGCTCCTTTTCCTTTCTCTGTCAGCACCAGCTACAGACTCTGTCCTGCCTTATTTATTTCCTCTAGCGAGTTGGTTTCTTTGCGGCGTCCTGATAGCTTCTGCAGGTGTGTGAGCGCTGCTTGCCCATCAGGCCATGGAAGCTGTCTGCTTTCAGAACCCATCTTCTGGACTTCTGAACCGTCTAGTCAACTTTGGTTTAGCAATTCCTGAACCCCGTATCAGAGGCTGCAACACAACCTTGATGGGAACGGTGGTAATCATGACAGCAGCCATTATATATTTAATGCTACTGTGTGCCCGCACTGTGCTTGGCACTTTCCGTGCCTTCTCATTGAATCCGCTCAACAAGTGTTTGAGGCAGGAACAATTATAAGCAGCCCTATTTTGCAGACTGATGCTCAGAGAGATGAAGTCACACATCCAAGATCACACAGCTGTGGTAGAACAGGGTGTCAGATGGAGCCAGGCCTACTGGACTCCAGATTCTGAGGTCTCAGCTGCCTTGCAGGATTGATTCCTTCAGGTTACTTCCAGTTTCCACGAAGCTCTTATCTGTCTGGAAATTGTGGCTGTCACTAACATTTGTATCATGCTTGTGCTCATAGCTCCCCATTAGTTGTCATGACAGTCCTTCAAGGTAAGAGGTGTCCCTGTTTTTCAGAAGAAGAAAATTGAGGCATCACCCACTCTCTAACTCTTCCTACACTGTCCGCAGTTATGTGGAAAGGGAACAAGGTATCAGAGTCCCTGAGACCAAGAGCCATGTCTTCTGGTTGGTTCGTGTTTCCAAAGCGCTGGGATCAGCCAACAACTATTCATTGAGCACCTCCTGGAGGGCTGCAGGGAGGGTTGAGGCTGTGACTCTTCTGGTGTTTTCAGAGGTCACCCTGGTTCATCTGTGCTCTTGCTCCCAGGACTTGTCATGCCCTGTCCCTCTACAGGCAGAGATCTTCCTTGATCCAGGCCTGGACCACTGCAGTAGCTTCTTAACTAATCTGGCATCCCCTCTTGTTATCCATCCTCCATGCAGCAGCCAAAGGGATCTTCCTGAGATTTAAATGAGATCCTGTCATTCTGCTGAAAACCCTCCAGTGGTTTCCTGACACACACACAGCACAGCCCTGGCCTGTGTGTAGCTCTCCGGCTGGCCTCTTCCTGTTTGCTTGCCCTTGCTCCAGCACTGCAGTCCTGCTGCCTTCTGTGTTTTCCTTGAACATTCTCAGCTTGTTCCTACCTCAGCGCCATTGCCCTTGCTGTGCCCTCTGCTGGGTGCACCATTACCCTACCTCCCATCTTCTTCCATGGCTGGCTTCTTGTCCCTTTTAAATGCCACTTCCTCCTAAGGGCCTTCGCTAAACTCGCAGTCCACCCACGTCACTCTGCCACGTTTCCTGTTTTACTTTTTTTGTAACTCTTATCTCTGTCTTTGCTTGTCTTGTGCCTCTAACACTGACCTGTTTATTTGTCTTCCCACCTCTGACTACAAGTTGCACAAGGACAGGGACTTTATTAACCTTGTTACCCAAGCACTTGGCAGAGCCCCCTGCACACAAAGGTGCTCCATGGTTATTTGCTGAATAATTGAATAAAAGCAGCAGGTTGTCCACAGAACAGCCCTTGCCAAAAATGAGTGGCCTAGACAGAAACTACAAAGAAATCAACGTTGACCAACTGAAAACGAACAGGATAATTTTGGCAGTTGTAGGTGCTTTCCACAGCACCCAATTCAGCAGAAACATGACTTTCTGA